ACACTCAGAAGACAAGTCATTGCCTAAAACAGAATATCGTTATGGCAAAGGTAAAGTTTTACGGTAAAACAAAATGGTTCATATGCAAAAAATAAAAATAACTGAAAATTAATATGATATAAACAAACAAGAATAACTAATAATAGAGACAAAATCATAAAAACTTGCGGCAACAAGCACTCCAGAATATGTTGCCCTGCTTGATCGACTGGCATTTTGCTGTCTGATAGATTACGTCGATCACACCACAGCCATCACTATCTTTGCTTAACCATTCCTTTTTCATGCTGGGCCTGGTTAAGTCAGAGATAAAATCGAACCAACATCTTGGAGGCAACAAAGCGCTTTATTAAGATCCACTGGGGGGAAAGGAATAGCAACTGCGTATCGGTGGTCAGTGCACCGAGCTACATGCCAAGCGTCAACGCATTTTGCTCTTCCTGCTTTCCATGATAACGTCTTTAATTCCTGCAGCCTATTTCTTCACAGAGAATGTGGAGCAAAATCTCAACATCCTTCTTTCAAAGAGTCCTACGCTAATAAACAAATAACTGACAAATGATAACATATGATAAGCAGCAGATAACAGGCACACAACAGACAGTGTTCCTCCACCTTCAACAGCATCCATGTGTCGCTGCCATAAAAAATTGCAAGTATTACAAATCTGCAATACACGTGCTGATTCGTTGGTCTGCCCAAATGGGAAGCTTCATGAAGTTCAACACGCGCGAATCTATTGGCTTTCTTGGCGGGGTTTCAGCCTTCTGAACATGTTGCATGCCTAACTCCTGGCCCAAATCAACTAAATTTAAACTGGTTACTTAAAATATGAACTCTGTGGGGATTGGACAAGCCTTATCAAGCTCGTGATCCAAAAACAATTTAACCAGCAGCATGGATCGAAAACAAACTTTTGATTCCAGACGCCATAACAGCTGCACGTCAAACAACCAACTGCACAAATCAACCCGAAATACCCTGAAGAAAGCCCGTGAGCGACGAGCCAAAATGTCGGTACTTATCAACCACTCGAGTGACCAATTTACTATTTACGTTATGTATAAATAAACAATTTTTATGCACTTCTCATTTTTCAGTATTCATTCATAACAGATCATGAAGTGGTTATTACTGGCGAAAATCAAAAACAATAAAAAATCATCTACACTTTTTACGAACGTCTTTTAAGAAACATGAAATTTACCACATTGTGAGCCTTGGCTATTTTTCCGGTTACTGAGTCTTCGGTCACTGTACTGTCAGGAAGAACCTCGACTAGTTTGCCATGTTCTTTCAGGAAAGTTGACAAAAATATCGCCAGATTAGCGATGAACTTTTGCTCAACATCGTTGCCAACACGATATGCAGCACATATATTTAGGTCAGGAGGAAGAATCTATAAAAAAAAAAACAAAACAGGTGATATTTTAGCAGTAAAGAGTCCTTCAAACACCACCTTCTTCAGTTGCTCCATAGTCGCCAAGAACATCTGAAGCATTCGTTCTTCGTAAGTCTGCGGCACCGTCGACGATGCACTGACAGAAGCAATTTCCGTCAGGCATTTCAACGAGACGTTTTGAAACACACGCAATGTCAAGAACTAGAAACAGAAACAAATAAATAAGGATCAGTCATCGCTAACCATGTAAGGATACTGAGAGTACGAAGGAGATGGTCTTCAGATAAATGAAAATTTATGAACACAAACTAAAATCTGCAGGAATCAACCTTCAGGTTTTCTGCTGATGAAGTATAACGTCATATAGATTCATCATGACAAAAGAAAAAGAAAGGTTCGTCATTAGTGAAGTGTCGATTTCCACGAAGCTTCAATCAAGAACTGTGATAAGAGTACCTAATATTTCACAGCACCATCAACGTACATGCCAAGCACAACATACAACTTCATTTTCCTTATCCGCAGAATTATACTTCCCATTAATCACCCAGAATGATGAGTGCTTAAAAGGCACTGGTACGAGGAACAATCTTCAGAATCTCGTGTCCAACGACTGAGCTACTAGCTCTTTATCTGAAACACTAAAAAATCCTTGGCATTTTGAGGACTAAAACTATTATGCTTTCAAACAGCAGCAGCGCTTTCGAATATCTTAGATGAGGATGAGCCTAAGAGATTAAAATGAGCCGAAAATTCAAAATTATAGGAAATGTCATGTTATCGCGGTTTCCAGTTAGCATCATTACTTAGAAAATTTTTACAGCAAGGCTCAGATGCAAGTCGAAGAGTAAAAAAGTGTGAAGCAACTGCATCAAAACAATCTCCTGAGGCAAAACCAAACAGAAAAAAACTTAGCCAAACTAAAAAACAATGTTTTGGCAGAAACCACGGTTGTTATTTCTTATGGATAAGACGATGCTTCACTCATACAAGTCAAGCACACATTTGTTTA